CTGCATTTGGGCAACAGCTGATATATTTGCTCAGAGCTTTCAGGTATCTATAGCTGTTGCTTTTCTTTGGGGCCTCTGGACTCTCTCCTGTGTTGTGTGATTCAGGGCCCAGCTAAGGATTATGGTGGAGTTTATAAACATATATTTTGGAGTTTTCTGTTTTCTAGGAAACTTTGTAGTTGCTCTGCTAGATCGAAATTTCATCCTTTGATGTCTCAATCCAGTAAGATTGTGATTTCCTTCTTGAGTTTCAGCTACTGTGAACAATTTAGGCTGGTATCTATCCTCAGCAAGCATATAAAGGGAAATCTCACCAAGTATAGTTCTCCTCTTTAAAGGGTTGGCTTCTCTCTGGTTTCTGCCATTTGGTTGCTCTCCAGTGCTTTTAAATAGTTGTTTTTATATTTTGGCCAGAGTATATAATTGTTGTTTGTTGGAGGGTTAGTCCAGTATAAGTTATTTTACCTTTCTATGTGTAAATCTCCCATACTTTCACTTTTTAAAAAGGCTTTGGTTTTTAGAGCAGTTTTAGGTTGAAATTGAGAGTAAGGTACAGAGATTTCCCACATACAGAATTTTTGCCCCACACATGCATAGCCTCCCCCATTATCAGCATTACTCACCAGAGTGGTACTTTTTTGAAAAATCAAGGATAAACCTACAACGACACATCATAATCTCTCAAAGTCCATAGATTACCTAAGGGTCACTCTTGGTGTTGTATATTCAGTGGGTTTAGGCCTATGTATAATGACATATAGCTATCATTATAATATCATACAGAGTATTTTCACTGCCCTAAAAGTCCTCTGTGTTTTCCTATTTACCCTGACCCTCCACCCCTGATGTTTTTATTTTTACCATAGTTTTGCCTGTTCTAGAATGTCGTGTAGTTGGGATCATACAGCATGTAGCCTTCTCAGATTGGGTTCTTTCACTTAGTAATATGCATTTACAATTCTTCCATGTGTTTTCATGGCTTAATATAAGCTCATTTCTTTGTAATACTGAATAATATTCCATTGTCTAGATGTACCACAGTTTATCCATTCACTTACTGAAGGACTCCTTGGTTGCTTTCAGGTTTTCGCAGTAATGAATAAAGCTACTGTAAACATCCATGTGCAGGTTGTTACATAGACAAACGTTTTCAACTCCTTTGGGTAAATACCAAGGAGCGTGATTGCTAGATGGTATGGTAAGCATATGTTTAGATTTGTAAGAAACTGCCAACCTTTCTTCCAAAGTGCATGAACCATTTTGCGTTCTCACCAGCAGTGGGTGAGTGTTTTTGTTGGATGAGAGAGAATTCCTCACAAGCTTTTGGTGTTGTCATGTTCAAGGTTCTAATAGGTGTGTAGTGGTATCTTATTGTTGTTTTAATTTGCATTTCCCTGATGACATATAATGTGGAGCATCTTTTCATATGCTTAGTTGCCATCTGTATATTTTCTTTGGTGAGGTTGCTTTTGCTTTTAACTTTTCTGAATCTTTAAGTTTTTAGTGTATGTCTCACAAATAGCATATAGGTTTTATTTTAAAAATCCAATCTTACAATTTATTTATTAATGTATACATTTAGTCTTTTTTATCTTTATTTTAATTGTGTTTTGAGATCTGGTTCTACCATTTCATTTTGTGCTTTCTATATTTGTGGAGTTTTTTTTCTGATTTTAAATTTATTTCCAGTTTTTTTGAATTGATTGATTTTCTTATTCCTCCTTTTTTCAACTTTGTTTTTTAATTTCACGTCTTTACCTAGTTGTTACCTTTTAATTTTTAATAATAATTGATCCTAAAAAAGCCTAAAGTGAATTAAATATTTCTACCTTCTGCCTAAACACAGCAGCCTTAAAATGCTTTAATTTCAGTTACCTTTATTCCTTACATGGCATTGTTTTCTGGTATTTTTATTCACTTAACAACTAATTTTTAAACTCTTCTACCATGTGTCTGTCAGATACTATTCCGGGTGCTGTAGTAATAGCCTTAAACAAAATAAAATATCTGCACTCATGAAGCTTACAAGCTAATTAATAAACTGATTAATATATGTTATGATATAAATTAGTGTTTGGCGCTAGATTTGAAAGTAAAGCACTAGGAAACTATAAAGAATGATGTTGGGATGGAGTATGCTATTTTGTATTTGAGTTTCTGCTGTCTTCAGATATTTCATAAGGTTTTTAAGGCTCAAATATGAAAAACATAATTCTCATGCTAGAGGAGCTTGTAGCCTAACCAGAGAGTACCAGGAAGAAGTTACAGATATGGAGCCATTGGTGCATGGTAGGTGAAGCTTTCCCACTGGTCAGTTTCCAGGGAAGGTGTGTAGAGTGTTAGGCAGCCTGAGGACAGATCCAGGGCAGAGTGGTGTGAGTCGGTAAAGAAGACTAAAGCATGGTCAGAAAAGTCGAAGGACGAGAAATGACCCTGGGAGCCAAGAAAAGAAGAAGTTATATTTTATTTATAGCCTGCCTATTGCAAAAGTAATTGAAAGGATGAGATAGCAAGTAGAATGAGTCTGGGGAAGAGATTGATCTTGGTAGTTAGGTTATTACAGTGACTTGATCAACCAACAGTTTCATTGAATTGAAGCTAGACTACACTGGGTTAAGGAGTTGAGAAATTAGGACAGAGAATAAAGACTACTTGTTTAGAAGGTGGTAAAGGTAAGAGAGTGATAATTTGAGGGGAAGAGGGCAACATTAGAACTCAGGGTTAAAGTTGGTGTTTCAGCAAAAACACAGAACAAAAACCTTGGAGATTTTGAGGACCAATGGCCAGAAAATACTGTGGATCCCTGCCCTGGAGGAGATTCCTGCCTGATCCTTTACTTGCCAAAACTGCTCCCCAGGATCCCTGGGGGTTTCCATTGTTGATGGTGGCAGTATATTTCTAGTGTCTGAGTTCATGGTTGAACTGCATACTGAAACCACAGTATTCTGTTGTAATGATTTGGCACTTATATCCAGGAGATAAAAGTAAAAGCGTGGGTGAACTCCCCCTGACCATTGCTCTTCACATTCCTTAGTGTGATAGCCAAGATTACCCCCATTATGAACTCACCCCCTCAACCATATCTCCCAGTTTTTCTGTTTGCGGTCCCCTAGACATTCCCTGAATTTTCGTGCCTCCCTATTTTCGCTCAGACTGTTTCATCCACTTGAAATATCCTTTTGCCTTTTCATAACCTAAATCAATTCCCCTATCATTGTCCCCTACCAGTTTCGCCTCTTATAATTTAGCACCTGTCACAAAGACGCAAAATTATTTTGTAAATTGTGACGTGCCACACAGACTTGCCTTGCTGTGTCTCCCCATAAACTGCAAGCTTGTTGAGGTCAGGGACTGAGTCGTTTTCACATTTATGTACATCAGATTTTACTTGGCATAGTGTCTTGCACAAGTTTGATATTTATTAAAATTTGAATAAATTAGGGATATGAGATTGTGCTAGATTAATGCTGTGTCTAAGATGGGCATGTTATAAACCAAGTTCTAGTTTGTAGCTTTTAAATTTTTATTGAAATTCTGCCTCTGTGTAATCTCCTGTAAAAGTAGACTCCTTAATTTAGATTCTCCACTGATGCACATCTCACTTTTTTTCTTCTTCACAGAATACATGCCTGTCTCAATCAGTAATCGTAGGTTGCAGAGTAGTGTATTGGGATTTTTTCACTGTAGTGGTAGAATACCTACTTAAACAATGAAGGCTTTATCAACTCACCTAACAAGAAGTCCAGATATAGGAGATTTCATGGTTTGTATGCTCAGTGACTCCGTATGTCTTCACTTTGCCATCCTCAGCATGTTGGTTTTCCTCATGACCTTAGGATGGCTGCAGCACTTCTGTGTATTCTGTACAAACAGTATTCAAAGGTGGAAAAGTATAGTTTCTCCTCCAGCATCTCTGTGAGGGAGCATAACTTTTCCTGACTGCTTCCTAACAGACTTCCCTTCAGGTGCCATTGGTTGGAAATGGTCATTTGCACTGGCAAGAAGAATGATCACTTGAATTCAGTTGGGGATCTAATGCCTTGGAAAACATAGAGTCTCTGAGGGTGAGATAAGGAACAAACAAAAAGGACCCTAGTGCCCTGCTGGTGGGAATGCAGCCGGTGCATCCACTGTGGGAAACAGTGTGGAGTGTCCTCAAGTTATTAAAAATGAAGCTGCCATTTGACCCAGTGATCCCACTTCTAGAAATATATCCTAAGAAGCCGGAAACACTAGTCAGAAAGAACTTATGCACCCCTGTGTTCATGGCAGCATTATTTAGAGTAGCTAAGATCTGGAAACCGCCCAAGTGTCCATCAGTAGATGAGTGGATAAAAAAGCTGTAGGACATTTACACCATGGAATACTAGGCAGCTGTAAAGAAGAAGGATCTCTTACCCTTTGAGACAGCATGGAGGGACCTGGAGAGTATTATGCTAACTGAAATAAGCCAATCAGAGAAAGACAAGTATCACATGATCTCCCTTATGTGTGGAATCTAGTGAACAGAATAAACTGACAAAGTTGATCCAGAGATATGGAAGCATGCAACAGACTGAGGATTATCAGAGGGAAAGGGTCGGAGGGGGAGGGAAGAGATCAACCAAAGAACTTATATGCATATATGTGTAACCCATGGACACAGACAATAGTGGGGTGTGGAAGTGGGGAGGAGGGGGGACAATGGGGGAAAAAGGGAATATCTGTAACACTTTCAACAATAAAGATAAATTTTTAAAATAAAAGGAACAAACAATATCTGTCACACATGCTATTTATGTGTCTTTGGCTTGCCCATCTGGAAAGTTAATATCCTCATAGATTTGTAAGAGGAGGCAAGTACTTCCATTGAGCTTGGTGTTGGTTCCAGTAATACTTTATTCATTGTCACATTCATGAGCCAGACATTAACTGAACACTTTGTGTGCCAGCACTGGGAGGTGTGGCTGACCTGTAGTCCAGTGGAATAGGGTGGCTGAGGTAAGGCGGAGGATAGAGTTATTCTTTAATAAACTGATAATAGGAAATTTATTTTTCAACAGGAGATGTGGGACATATGGATTTGGGATATGAATTCATTTGAAAAACCACTTTGGGGTAAGTTGATAGCTGGGAATGAATGACTTCAGGGTTCCACTTCTTTTTACATTGGTGTTTGTTCTTATAGCTCTGAAGGTTTCAAACGTTTGTTGACTGGACTTTATGCCTCATATACACACAAGAAGATAGATGGCTTGTACTAAAATTCCAGTTTAGTAATTTGAGAAATTTAACCATCAGGCATAGCTCAGTACTAATTAATCAGTGCATTCACTTTTCATTAGGGAGTTTAATTTGAAGACTAAATGAAGACCAGGTTTAGAAATAAAAACATACTGACTATAGAGGGTTTAACCTGCTTGAGCTTACCCACTAATCCTGTCATGTGGACTCATAAATCACTCTTGGAGCCAGTGTTGAAGATACAGGGTTAAAGTTTGTCTCTGAGTGTCTCTTTTCAGTACTCCAAATGGCTGTTTGAATTCTCATTGCGTCAGTAAAAATATAAAAGGTCTCCAATTTTTGTTTCATATAAGAAAGCACTTCTAGAAATACAATGTAATATTTACTGACTGTGTACTATAGTATCTGAGTATATTGTACATTACCTCATTTAATTTTGTGTTACGGGACTATAAGGTGGGTGTGATTTTTTCATTTAGAGGCCTAAAGAGGCCCATGTTTATAGAATCACATAACTAATACTGTAGAAATTGAAATTTGAACGCAAGTTTTAATATGCTGCTGTGTTAGGGGCTTTCAAGATCACCCTCAGGTTCAGTGATTGGCTAGGGGGGACTCATGGGATTCAGCATATAGTCATAATAATGGCTAAGATTTATTACAGCGAAAAGATACAAAGCAATATTAACAAAGAAAAAAGTTCAGGGGGTGAAGTCTGGAGGGAACTAGGCACAGGCTTCCAAGAGTCCATTCCCAGTGGAGTCACTCAGGATGTGCTTTATTCTTACAGCAGTGAGCTTTGACAACACATGTGAAGTGCTATCAGCTAGGGAAACTCGTTAGACTCGTTGCCAGTGTTTTTATTAGGGCTCATGGTGGAAGCACCCTCTGCCTAGCATGTACCAAAATTTCAGGCTCCCAGAAGAAAAGCAGGTGTTTTGCATAAACCATACTGTTTGTACAAACAGTATAGGCACAGTGGGGCACACTTGTCCTTTTTTAAGATAAGTTTTATCCTGGTGTGGGGAACTACTTACCATTCAAGTTCCCAAATGCCAGCTAAGGGCCAACCTTACAACCAAGTCTTTCTGAGGATAGCAGTCTCAGGCCTACTGTGTTAGCTTTTACCCTATATACTGATTATTCATTTAAGGAGATTGTGATTATGATTGTTTAGCTTCTGAAAACTGAGAGATTCTTTAGTGTAGCTTGTTTTGTGGATCCCATGACTGCCCACTAGTTTGATTTGCTGGAAGGACTCACAAAACTCAACATAATGTTGTACTCATGGTTAATTACAGCAAAGGATACAATGCAGGAACAGCAGGAAAATATATGTATAGGTTAATGCTAGAGATCTGGCACAGACTTCCAAGTCTTTCCACTATGAGAATTACATGGACACAATTTCCCCTCTGGCTGTGAATGATAAGAGACATGTACAAGATGTCTCTGGCTAGGGAAGCACATGAGTATTATAGTCCAGAGTTCTTATAGAAAGCTGGTCACATAGGCACGTTTCTGCCATATGGCCCTAGTAACTGAAACTTAGAAACCAGAACAGATAAGGTACACATCATAAATCTTGATGATTACTTTAAACAATGCTAACATCTTGGTACATCCTGACCCACTGCCTCTAACATCCTTAACCAGTGACTGAATATTTCAGGAGTTTAGTTCTCAGAGTTTGGCCAGGGGTCATTGCTATGGCTCCAGGCATTCCCCCAGAGATTAGCAGGGATTGAGTAAAACAGACCTGCTGTGTTAGCTCCTTCCTCACAGTATCCTACATGAAATAATGTTGCATTTGCTGAATGTAGTATTTAGTGCTGATATATTCTTTAGAATATGATATTCTAAACTTAGAAAAAATAATTGAGAGTAGAAATAGTTGACAGATTTCACTTCTCTGAGGGGAAATTTGTAGAATATTTTCTTTTAGGGATTTATATAATGGTGACTTTTGGATGTCCCATTTTCGTCCACAACTTTTGTATTATATCCAGGTATATGTTATGTTAAGGAACAACACATAGATATGAACTTAAAACAGTTAGATCAAGATACTGGACAGAATTAACTTTCACTTCGTGATGGCCTTCCTCGTGAGGGACTTTTAAACAGAATGGGATCTCTTTTTTACAGAATTTGCAGATTTACAGATACATCAGTTTTGCAAAAAGAAAATAACTCATAGTTTAAAAATTGCCTGTTTCCAGGATTTGAAACCAATCTCTACTACTTTATTTATTGCTGTTTGAAACCTGCTTTATATTATGCAAAAAAAAGAGACAAAGTATATGGGAAAAGTTCCATGCTTGAAAATGAGAAGTTCTGAGTTAATAAAGTTAAATAGGTTTCCTTATTGCAGAACTTCACAGAACCTTCAGTGCCATAATACACAGTATGAATCTCCCAGGGCAAAGAGAGCTTACAACGTTTTCCTAACTTAGTTGACCATAGACTTGCTTTAGTAAGAACTCTCAGGTTTGGTTCCTGTAGTAACAGTGTTCTTTATTCTTTAGAACAAAACAGAAGAACAGGGGGAAGCCATAGAGGGTTTTAGATAGAGGAGAGATAGAAAACAATTATAGAAAAAATTTACTTTAAAGAGAACCTTGTTGCAGAAAGTTTAGCATCTTTTACTGCCTTCTGATAAAACCTGTTTAGAAACTTCCGTATCTGGATGTCTTTTCCCTGCCAAGTTTCCTGAATTTATGTTTGTGTTATAATGTGAATGGCGTGTCTCTTAGACTAGTGATTGGCAGTGTGATAAGAGCTTCCGTGGTGTGGATCATTGCCTTTATGCTTGTACTATACACAGTACCTGACACGGTATCAAGAACATAGTTGGCAAGGACTCAGTAAATATCCAGAGAGCTTGTAATGAGTTGTGACTCTAAAATACTAAAACTTTTTTTTTAAGAAACACCATATAGTAGACATAAAAGTTATTTTGAAAATGGTATCATTTTGAGAAACATTTTTGGAACTTAACTATTAAACTTGAGTTTAATTCCTTCCTCAATACCAACTTCTTTTTTATGATCTTTATGATTTTTAAAACTTATTCCCTCAGAACAGAATTGTTTCACCATAGTCATGTAAACAGTTTTAACTACTAGATTTCTTTTGCAGTGGATGGAATATTATTTTAAGTAATTAAATGGTCGATCATAGCTAAGGAAGGCCAATAGGTCGAGAGTAGCCAAGGCATTTCTCAAGAAGTGGTGAAAAGTGAGACGCCTTGCTATAAAGCTGTAATAATTAAGACATCTGTGTGGTGTAGGGATAGACAGATAGACCAGTGGAACAGGAAATAGAACCTTGGAAACCAAGCTTATGACAAAGTTAGCATCACACACCATTAGGAAAAAGGTGAACTTTCATTAAATAGTACTGCGACAGTTGGTTATCCACATGGAAGAAAATGACATTGAATCTCTACTTAAACCTGAAGGGTAAAACTTTAAAATAGTCTCTACATAGAGAAGAATTTAAGATTTAGAAAATGTGAACCATTAAGAGACAGCTCTTACTAAGAAGATAAGCTGTAAACTGGGAAAAGATACTTGCAGTATGTGTACTGGCACAGGTTTACGATCCAGACTATAGAGAGGTCTTTACAAACTAACAGGAAAAAGACAAATCAACCCAGCCAGTAGAAAAGTGAACTAGACTTCAGTAAGAGGAAACAGAATGGCCAGTAAGGTCAGAGATGGTGGGGAAATGCAAATAAAAGTACATTAAGTTACCAACTACACAAACAGCAGATTGTCAAAAAGTAAAGTTTGACATCAGTAAGTGTTGCCAAGGATAACATACAGAGCTCTCATTTTGCATTCTGTTTTGCTTCAACTATCTGGGAAAGCAAATTGATCATATTTAGTCATATTTAAAATATGCATTTCCTATGACCTAATACCCCTAGGGATATACTCTAGATCAGGACTCATAGTTAAGAAAGGTTTTTAATGTTTTTAAATGGTTAAAAAATTAAAATAATATTTTGTAATTTGTGATGTGAAAATTATATGACATTCAAATTTCAGTGTCCATAAATAAAGTTTTTTTGAAATGCTATTACATTTACTTGTTTACATATCATTTACTCTTCTTTTGTGGTATCAGAGTAGAGTGCTTGCAACGGAGATTTCCCACGGAGCCTAAAATATTTACTATCTGGCCTTTTGCAAAAGAAATTTGCCAACCTCTGCCCTAAATAAATATATTTGCACGTGTGTACCAGGAAATACGTGCAGAAATGTTCATAGCAGTACTGCTTGTAATAACAGAAACCTAAAAAGAACTAAATGTCCATTAAGAGTAGAATGGATAAAATGTGGTATGCTAAGCCAATGGAATACTATTCAGTAGTGAAAATGAATTAACAACTATATGCAACATATGGATGGATCTCAGGAACACTGTTAGAAAAAAAGCAAGTCTCAGATTTTTGTATTTATAAGCAGTTTAGAAACAAATGTAAACAAGCATTGCTAAGGATACTATGAGATAAAAGTATCAGGAAAAGGTAAAATGATAGGTTCTGAATAGAGGTTGGCATTGAGGAGCTGCGGAAGAGAGAATTGGAGAGGGAACATTAAAGGTGATGTTCTTTATTCATCTAGGTGGTAGATACGTGTGTTGTGCTGTGATCCTTTATTACTATGATGAGTTTTTACATACTTAGGATATTTAATGTTTTTGTGATTTGGGGCACTAAAAAGTATGAACCAGAACCTGCTTGATTTTACCTATAATTTCCACTCCTCCTCTCCCCCTGCCATCCCAGGTGTTCTGGTTGTGTCAGGAATTTAATTAAAACTATCTTAAGCAGAAAGGGAGATTAATAGAGGATTTCTGGGTGTTCACAAAAGCCAAGGAAGAGTCAAGGACTTGGTCATCATCAGGACCCTCTGCCTCTTGTTCTGTATGCCTCTGCTTGTCCTCATTCTTTTGGATTGCAGGTGGGCTTTCTCTGTGTGTTGGGTAGTGTCACTGACTGCAGTCCTAGATGCACAGGCTTCCTGCTCTGTAACTCAAGAAGCCAAGGGATGAGGTCCTGTGGTTGGCCTGGCCGGGTCATGTGACTGTCTTGTGGTCAGGAGGCTTAGTCTGTTACCAGAAGAAACCCTTTGGGGAGGGCAGGGAGAGCTAAGGTGAGAATCATGAGGCAAGAAGTCCCCTCAGTTTTTACCCATTTTATGTCTGTTCTTTAGGTGTAAAACAATATGTGGCATTTTGACATAGCTTTGTGAATATCAGGGTGACCATTAAGACATTTGATGTTGCCTAACACAGGATACTCAGTGGTTGGGGGTGGGGAAGAGGGGTTAGAAATGTCTGTTGAGCATATTACTTTTAATTAAAAAAAACACACATAAAAATACAGCATCACCATGAAAGTACCTTATGCTAACCCTTTATAATCACATCCATCCCTTTTTCTTTTCTCCACGATAAGAACATTAAAGAGACAAAAATGAGGCAAAATAGATATTGCAGACTTGATTTAAAACATAACATTTCTTCTGTCTATTCTGAATGACCGAATGAACACTTAACCCATTGGTAGTAGTAGTGTTTATTAGGGTTTATAGGTGGTTTTCTGTGTTTGCCAAGTTCTTTGCATTGAGCATGTATTTATTTTTTTCTAAGTTTATTATTGTTGAAAATATTACAGATGTCCACTTTTTACCTCCATTGATCCCCTACACCCCACATCCACTTCAACCCCAGGCCTTCCCCAGAACAGTGTCTGTGTCCATGGGTTATGCTTATAAACATATAAATTCTTTGATTAATCTCTCCCCCCTTCCCTCCTCCCCACCTTTCCTCTGAGATCCCTCAGTCTGTTGCATGCTTCTGTGTCTCTGGGATCCATTTTGTCCATCAGTTTATTTTGTTTATTATATTCCACATATAAGTGAGATCATGTGGTACTTGTCTTTCTCTGACTGGCTTATTTCACTTAGCCTAGTACTTTCTAATTCCCTCCATGCTGTCCCAAAGGATAGAAGATTCTAGTCTTCTTTTTTACAGCTGCATAGTATTCCATCGTGTAAATGTGCCACAGCTTTTTTACCCATGCATGTACTGATGGGCACTTGGGCTGTTTCCAGATCTTAGCTATTCTAAATAATGCTGCTATGAATATAGGGGTCCATAAGTTCTTTGTGATGGGTGTTTCGGCTTTTTTAGGATATATTCCTAGAAGTGGGATCACTGGGTCAAATGGCAGGTCAATTTTTAATTTTTTGAGGAAACCCCATACTGCTTTCCATAGTGGCTACACCAGTCTGCATTGCCACCAGCAGTGTACTAGGGTTCCCTTTTCTCCACATACTTGTTGTTCATTGATTTGTTGATGGTAGCCATTCTGACAGATGTGAAGTGATACCGCATTATGGTTTTAATTTGCATCTCTCTGATGATTAGCAACATTGAGCATTTTTTCATATGTCCCTTAGCCATCTGTATGTCCTCTTTGGAGAAGTGTCTATTTAGGTCCTTTGCGCATTTTTTAATTGGATTCTTTGTCTTCCTTTTGTTAAGTTGTATGACCCTTATATATTTTGGATTTAACCCTTTATCAGATGTGTCGTTGGCAGATATGTCCTCCCATACAGTGGGATCCCTTTTCGTTTTGTTGATGGTTTCTTTTCCTGTGCAGAAGCTTTTTATTTTGATGCAGTCCCATTTGTTTATTTTCTCCTTAGTTTCTCGTGCCCTAGGAGATGTATCAGCAAACATTGGTACAAGAGATATCTGAGATTTTGCTGCCTATGTTTTCTACTAGGATTTTTATGGTTTCATGTCTTAAATTTAAGTCTTTTATCCATTTTGTGTTTATACTTGTTTGGTGTAAGTTGGTGGTCTAGTTTCATCTTTTTGCATGTAACTGTCCAATTTTCCCAGCACCATTTATTGAAGAGACTTTCTCTACTCCATAGGTTTTCAATTCCTTGCTCTCTCTTTTCTCCTTTGGGTAGCCCCATGATACAGATTTTGGCATGCTTGAAGTTGTTTTGGATTTTTTTTTCCTTTTTGCTGTTCTGATTGGTGTTTCCTGCTTCCTTATCTTCCAAATCACTGATTTGATCCTCTGCTTCATCTTCACTACTGTTGATCCCTTGTAATGTATTCTTCATTTCACTTATTCCTCATTTCTGACTGGTTCTTCTTTATGCTTCCTATCTCCATTTTTATGGTTTTCTATCTTTTTGCCGAAGTTCTCAGTTCATCTGCTCTTCCCCTGAGTTCATTGAGTATCCTTATAACTAGTGTTTTGAACTCTGCATCTGGTAGATTGTCTCCATTTTGTTTAATTTCTTTTCTGGAGTTCTTTTTTTCATTTGGGAAATGTTTTTTTGTCTCCCGTTTGGCTGCCTCCCTGTGTTTGTTTCTATATATTAGGTAGATCTGCTATGTCTGTAGGTTTGGTAGAGTGGCCTTATGTAGGTTTCTTGTAGGGCCCAGTGGCACATCCTCCTCAGTCGCCCAAGCTGGGTGTTCCAGGTGCACCTCCCATGTGGGCTTTGTACACCCTCCTGTTGTAATTGAGTCTTTATTGATGGCACATCAATGGGAAGGATTTACCCCCCAGACCGTTTGGCGGTGAGGACTGACAGTGATTCACAGCATAGGATCTGCTGTGCAGGGGCCAACCCCATGGAGCAGGACTAGCTTCAGTGGGGCTCTGGTGCCAGCGAGTTTGCCCCTTGAGTGTGTTGCTTGTGAAGGTGGTTGGGTGGTGCTTTAGTGTGGTCTGAAACTGTCCACTGGGTGCACTGGCTCAGGGGTTTCCCAGGAGGTGCAGGCCAAGGTCAGCTGCTGTTTGTGCTGCCCGCCATGGAACATGCTACATAAAGTTGCCCTTGTAAGGGGTTGCAGCATTGATCATCGGCCTGGTCCTTCAGAACATATGCTCATGTGGTTTTCATGTGGGTCATGTGTGCAAAGTGTGTGCTTCCTCCATCTACCTCATCTGAATGCACAACTCATCTGAATGCACTTGGTCAGTGTCCTAATCAGCAGTGACATGGGCCTTTGAGCCTTGCTATCAGCTGCTCAGTGGATGACTCCATACCTCTTTGAGGACTTCCAGACTGTTCCAGAGCTCCCCAAGATGAACTCCTTATGTGCCAGAAATATTTCTAGTCAAACTACTCCAAATGACTTTCTGGATTTGGTGACAGTTCCTCAAGTCATTTTCTCATATTTTAACAGATGAGGGTGTGGGGTTTGGGTGGGAAATAGAAACTAAAGATCAGGGAGGTCTATAAAATTACTGTCAGAGTCAACAGGAGGTCTCAGATCTTATGATAACCTTTTCTTTTCCAATATAATTTCCATGAGTCTGTCTCTGAATGGCTGCTGACTATCATTTTTGGAATGGGATAGAGGGACAAGAATAAACGTCTATAGTACAGACTCCTAGGAGAACACGTATTGTATATCTTTGGACCTTAGAAACTGAATGTGAGTAGTTGAAATAAACTGGGAATCACTGGTTTCTTAAAATCCTGTGGCAATCAATGGTTTAGCTTTGCCTACGCACTTAATATAGTAATTGACTAGAAGGCAGTTAAGTCTCATGTGTTTGATGGACATAAGATAATAGCTCACTATTGTTTTAATGTGCATTTTCCTAATTACAGTGAATTGAGCACTTTTCTACATGTTTATTGGCTATTCAGGTTTACTTTCTGCAAAGTGCTTGTTACATCCTTTAATTATTTTCCTGCTGGGTTGTTGTATATTGATTTGTAGGAGTTATTTGTATATTTTTGATACTATTAATTTTATGTATTTTACAAATTTTTCTAAGTCTGATTTATAAACTTATTCTCCATAGTAAAATTTCATATAGAGTAAAATTTCATATTCTTAGAATTCATTTTATACATTCTGAATTTTTAAGTTAATGTGTGTGTTTTTCTCTCTATAGGTTATGAACGTGATTGCTGATGAACCTGAATTGGAAAATTTTTCATGATCTTTGTATATTTATATATATATATATTTTAAAATTTTGCATTTGACTTAAAGTGCCATGAGAAAATTTGCATATTGCAAGGTGGTCCTAGCCACCTCCTTGATTTGGGTACTCTTGGATATGTTCCTGCTGCTTTACTTCAGTGAATGCAACAAATGTGATGAAAAAAAGGAGAGAGGACTTCCTGCTGGGGATGGTGAGTGACATTTTATAATAAAACACTCATTTTGATAAGCATTTCACTGTTTTGGTTTTTTTGTTGTTAACTAATTAGGCTACTGTAAAATTTTAACATTTTGAAGTTAATAGTAATCCCTACTTTCGTATATATGATGATCACTTTTCCAACAATTCTCTAGGGGGTTCTTCCAACAGTTATAAAAATATCAAAGTATCATATATAGAATTGCTGACTTTAATTTTTGTGTTCAGTGTTAGGTGTAGTTAATTTTCTGTTGTTACTAAATAATATAAGGAATCTCATAGTTGGAACTATCAGAATTGTACAGAAGATTAGTCCAATGCCACAATGCTGAGTGGAGCATTAAAATTGCATTTTCAGGTATGAAAAGATACTCCTCCTACCTTCCAATCTCAGTCCTATGGGAGGAAGTCATTCTAGATAGATGTGACCTGGAGAGTTCTCTTGATGAAAGGAGGAATAATAGCTCCAGTGAACACTTTTAGAGAGGACTTTTGAAAAGATGAGGCTGTAGAATAGGGGCTATAGTGAGGACACTGCAATATTGGGTGTGGAAAAGAAAGGAAACAAATATGAAGGATCTGGGTAGGATATACTGACATTTTTGGCAGAGGACACTAGAAAAACTCACTTTTAAACTCCTTATATTCAGCAAACATGCTGCCTTTGTTTTTTTCAAAACATAATGAAAATGACTTTGCATTGTTAATAACTCAGCTGTTCTGGGTTCTGAACTCTCTGTGATTAGTTATAGAATACTGGCTCTATAGTAATTCTATTTTTAAGAAATTATGTATAAATGATTACTATTTTAACACAAGTCTTATTTGAGTAGCCACATTTAAATATTTTATACTTTTATATTTTAGGGTACCTGGTTCCCTAAAATTTATAATCTAAAATTATTTGTATTGATAGTTGTGTCTACTTACTATAATTTTTATAGATGGGGTTGTGTAACCAGTTCTGTTTATTTCATCTTGGGAAATTTGTCTAAAAATAGGCTCATTGCCAGCACTGAACTCTAGTAATACCTAGGCTAACCCCTAACTTTTTAAATTTCATTTCCCCCACAAGTTTTAATAAAATACATTTTTATTCAAAGTCAGCCTATCTGCTGATTTTCCTGGTTTACTTTATGGCCCTGTTGTTAAGTAGCTTTGTTGTGTAACAAAATAATGCTTCCTGAACTGTTGTTATTAGAGCTGTAACTCTCTCTCTTCATTTAAATCAAAGGGCAGATATTACCATTCACCAGTAAGAGACTAGGATATTTTTTTCCCAAAGAGAACACATTATCTTTCCCTTCATTGCACCTTAATTCATTGCTAATTATAGTGGGAGCTCGTGGTGTTCTATCTTAAATGCAGAGGCATGGAAGTAAGAAAGAATGGTACCTGTAGTGTGTGAAGTTCCACTTGGCAAATGTTTTTGAAACTCTGATTTGTGTTGGGTAGTGTAATAGGTGCTCGTTATAGTCAGTTCCACAATAACCACAAAAACACAAAATTTTCCCCTTTGGAGAATTGCAGTCCTATAGGAGAGAAAGAATAATAGTAAAATACTGATATATAAATAGCAGGCTAGAGATGTGCAAAAGAGCATAAGGAACACGCCAAGGTTCAGTAAGAAAATAATGTTCCAGTTGAGTAATATCAGAGTGAATAGATGTTTGCTGGTTTGATGGGGAACACCTTCCAAGCAAAGGAAAGAAGCATGTGCAAGCTAAGCAAGTGAGAGAACACAGTTGATGTATAGGAGAATGTGAGGAAAGAGCACAGATGAAGCTTGGGAGGTTGGCAGCGGCCACATCACAGAAGGCCTTTATGGCAGGCTAAGGGTTTTGGACTTCACCCTATAGGAATTGGCATGTCATTGATGGATTTTAAACAAGGGAGTAAGTAACCTGATGGGATTTGGATGTTCAGAAGTTTGGTGGCCATGTGGCTGACACACTAGAAGGGAATGGAGGCCAGTTGTAAGATAGTTGTGAAAATTTGGAGAAGTTATTGGAGCCTACACTAAAATGACACTAGAGGTGGAAAGGAAATAAAATGTATGAAAAGTATGTAAATAGTGGAATTTACATACTGTGGAGAGCCATTGAGTATAGGTCCAAAGATGATTCTTAGGTTTCCCTGTTTGGATGAATTGATACAAGATAGGGACCTCAGAGGCAGAGCAGCTTTGATGAGAAGGTGGCTGGATGTGTTGGGTTTGGAATATTCAACTCTGAGGTGCTGGTAAAGGATGTTCTGCGGTAGAATGGTTGAGGGTGGAGCACATAGGTGGTAGTAGGTTAAGCCTTGTCTGTACATGAGACTGCACTTGGAACGTACAAAGAGTTAGAAGAGATAGACCCAGTATTGGAGAGCATCATGGAAGGTCAGGGAAGGAAGAGAGGCCTCTCAGGAACTCGGAGGTAGAAGGAGAAGCCAGAGTGAGTGGGGTCATGGAAACCCAGGAGTGGTGTTTTTTCAGAGACTTTATCTGAGATGAAGACCAGGTGTTTCTGATATGTTTGGAACGGGGTTTCTTGTGAACCTGGCAAGCGCCAGCCCAGCACCAGTGGATTTGAGGTATCAGTGTAGTAGTGGAGATGTATAGCTTATTCCTTTAAAACAGTTAATAGAAAGGAATGGAGCCAAGGCTGATTTTCTGTGTATGTATTTTTAATGTATGTTTAAGGAGAGATTTAAAATTTAAGGAAAAGAAGTAATGCTTGAAACAGCAAATATTCAGCAGGTGAGACTGGTATCAAAACCATAAGACAAGGATTTTCCTTGAAGAGGATTCTAAGGTTAATACAGGTTTGAAAATCACTAGTGTCATGAGCATCAAAGAAAAGGAGTAGCTTTTGTACAAAGTACACAGTAAAGGAGAAATGGTCTGGAAGTAACAACATGGAGCTGTAAGATAGCACCATTACCTCACAAGGAAAGGGATGAGTGGACAGTTCTCACAGAGGAGGTGGTGATGAGGTTAGCAGGCCCTTGGGGAGAGCCAGATTTGAGTCAGATCTTGGGTAGATGGGCCTCTGTGTGGAGAAGATAGGACATAAAGAAGCTTTATGATAGCCTGGGGGTGTCAGGGTGTTTAATGGGACAGACAGGGAAGGAAGTCAGCAGTGGGAGAAAGAGAGAAGGGCTCAGCCCTAAGCCAGAAGGTGAATAAATAGCTAAACTGAAAGGGTTTCAGAGGTCAGCAGTTTCAGATGGGGCCTTAGAGCCTCTTTTCAAATTGTGATTTATATAGCCTTAAGGGATTGACAGGAAAGAGGGGGAAATGACTTGGGGAAAGGGGAGAGTTTATACTAAGCCAGAAGTTCAAAAAATCTGCTCTAATGTGAAGTTTTAGTGCAGTGGGAGCCAAGAAGTCCCAAGTGACTTGAGAGCACAGAAATTTATTAAGATTCTCAATAGGTGAGGAATTGCTGTAGTGCCTCTGAAGCGATCTTTCACTAAAGGTGTTGGGAGAGAGTGGTTAGGTAAATGGAACTAAGGATTTGGAACTTGGAACTTCTTAGTGGAATTAGCAAGTACACTCAGTCACCTAGAAAAATGTAGGTCTCTTTTGATACAAAATGTCTCCAGGATCTTCATTTTCAATGGCATTTGGAAAACCAAACAAAAAAAACAAAACCAATGAGCAGATATAACACTCCAGAGTAATTGTTTCAGTATTGTAAGGATATCATTTCTGAACATTCTTTGAACTGTTTTACAGTGCCAATTTGGTGAAATGTACCAAATTATGTTCCGTATACCATGAATAAAGGCGTTCTATTTTTTGTTGTTGATTGACTTAAAAAAATTTTACTGAATTTATTGTGGTGACATTGGTTAATAAGATTATACAGGTTTCAGGTATACAATTCTACAATACATCATCTGTGTATTGTATTGTGCATTTACCACCAAAAGGTGTTCTATTTTTAAGTAGAACAGATTGATTATTCTTATGATAATGCTGAAGACCTCTTACAGGATGGTTATTGATATAATTAATTATTTACTTGTTACTTGCCTGCTTCTAAGTACTACAGCGGGCCAGTCTTTGGTGATTATAGAGAGGTTGTTTTTTTGTTTTTCTGAGTTCTCATAGTTTTCTACTTGTATTTTATACCCCAAGCTATCTGAGATTAGCAAGCTTCTGTTGGAGAATTTGATTGGGTTCCTCTTGAAAAAGCAAGATTAGTGTGGATTATGTCTTAGAAATATTTTTACTACTCTTCTGCTTTCCAGAATTAGCTCATTTATGGATATGGATGTTGTCTAGAACATTCAGTACTCTCACAGATGCAGTTTCAAGTAGGAATTGATCCTTTATTGCCAACACTATACTTGATTTTCAGATCATTAATATGTTGACGAATCAAGTTTTCATTGCTTATGCTAGAATTATTTCAACTGTCAAACGTTAGGAAACCTATGAGAACATAGTTTATGGAAGAAACTTATGATTAAAAACTTTAAAATATTATTAGTAAATGCTTTCAGAAACACTTTGTTACATTTTTTTACATGTTTAGAATTTTATATACTGAACATATAAATAATATGAACATAAAATTGGAGTGAGGGTTGAAACTGACAAGGATGTTGAGGTAGCAGAAACTTACCAGTAGGTTTGTTATATATATTTTGATTTTTTTTTTTAATCAGGTAATTTGCTACATTTTGTATGAATCCTCAATAATTGTTAAGTATATCTAACCATCTTATAAGAGTCTTTAGCATTATCAAAATATCTTACATACCTTTGTTTATAGATATTTATTTATTTTATATACCACTAAAAAAGCAAAAACATTGCAATTACCATCATAAGCCACATCCCAATCAGATATTAAAATATTTAAAAATATTAAAAGGAAAAATATTTTGGAATAGGCAAAACATAGTGCATCAAAACAGCAAAGATGATAGTTATGTAATAAGATAAGAAAATCCTTTGAGAGAAATTATTATAACTTTCATTGGTATTTTTTCTCCAAAAAGTAACTTTGTACCTCTTTATTTTTCTATGAGAAAAATATAAATTAGTAATTTGTAAGATTTATAAAGTACATTCAAAAGTATGTCATGTGATATGTATATGTTAATTTTACTTGGTGTCATACAAGAGGGAACTTGTAGTTTTCTTGATAATTAAGTTTTCTAAAACATGAAATTTCTTTACATTGTCACATAAATGAAATTTAACTGAAGTATAAAATATCTTTGTTCTTACATATTACCTTGGAATAATACCTTAGTCACTCCCTTATCAAAGTTGATTTGAGTTTTAGAAATGATCTTTGTATTAAATTTTATGCCAAGAAAAAATTCTTTTTTTAGTTCAGGAAATTGATGATATCCAAATCCCATTTTGGTTACTTTCAAACAAAAATTTCACTGAACTCACTTTTAATTTATGTAAAGGACTGTTTAGAATACATGGAAAGTTAATGCTTACCATCTTTTTTGTTGGTGTTTTTTAATACTGCAAGTGCAGTAGTAGTAAAAGTATTCACTAACCACATACATTTTATCCTGGTCTTTTTGCCAGAGAAAAGTAGTTAATTAGTCCATTTAATTTTTCAGGATATTGTAATTTCTAAATTAGAGTATTCTTGTAGATTCTGTAAGTCATACAGTAGTCATATAACTTTTGATTAATTGTAATTTTAAATGTGTCTGTGAAATCTCATGTGTATCAGTGAGTTAAAATATATAATGTGGGCACTATATTAGATATTCAGACAAGTAGCAGATCAAATTTGTAAAATATTGCAGCCGCAGGATTGTATATGTTGTATAGTTTTGTGTGATTCTTTAAAATCTCAAGGCCAGAGTTTTTTACTTCAAAATGATGGGGCAAGATTTTAACTTTTCTGGTCATATAGTCTCTTATGCAATAGGGATAAAATTTATACTAAGTTCTTATAGTAAAAATTTCTTGAGTCCTCCTTCATGATCCCTTGAGCCTATGGAAAATTTCAAAAATAAACAAAAGTAGAAAAATAGAAAATTTAATTCCCATATACCCATCCTTTGGCTTCAACAGTTGTCAACTCAAGGCTAGTCTTGTGGCATGGATACATGGATACCTCTTTCTTTTTACATCCCTCCCCCCAATTTTTGGTTATTGTTGAAGAAATTGGGTTCTCTTTTTCCAGTTTTCCACAGACAGGATTTGCATCCCTTTAGTGTTTTTGTTTTTGTTTTTATCATGTCTTTCTGTACCCTATGTGTCCTGTGAATTTGTAGGTAGGTTCAGGTGCTTGGTCAGATTCAAGAGCTCCCTTCCCTTCAAGAGTTGGAAATACTCCTAATACTCCAAAATTGAGCAGCATGAAAATGTTCCCATTTTAACTCTTCTTTAAAGCATCATCTTATACTAAAACAGGGCACAGATAACTGAAGGATATTTATTATCAGCGCCACTAGATGTCTCCCACCTACTCTTTGTGTTACACACTATGTGTGCACTAAGGATAATTGTCGCTTCCAGAACTCTACTGCTTTCTCAGTCCCCAAATCTGTTGATTGCTCTCTATTTTCAGAGACAGGTAAGTAAGTAGAAGTGGTTCTAAGAGTTTTATAATTTTTAAAGTTTTAAAAGCTTATGTGGGCATTATACTTCTGTAACTTGTATTATAGTTTTTATCATAGTTGTCATTGAGAATTTTTATAAATTCTGTCAACTCTTATATTTAAAGAGCTTACTTGCTGAGCAAACACTAAACAGGATTTGTTTTTAAAAACTATTACATGAGTTTTCTATAATTTTTTAAACTTCTAATATTTTTACGTACCTCCTAAAATCACAGTTTATTCTGAGAATGGGGAGTTATTATATGCCATATTTTTCTTTGATGGTTCTCTAAAGTAGACTTTTATATTCTAGACAGTTGTTAAAGACACAATGAATGATTTCACATGCCACAGCTTTCATTTTGGTAGGTTGCTTTGTTCCACCATCTGAAACCATCTTCAAGTTGGCTTTACCAGTTAGGCAGATGAAGCCTGGCTGAAGAGAGATGGTTTGTCTGTTGCCTTGATGTCTCCATTTTTATGCAGAGATTTTGGGGGGATGCCTAGAGAAAAACTGCAGGAGAATAAAACTTTCAGTTAAAAAAAAAAAAGTAATGTCTCAGATATTTTCATCCCATTATTGTCCTCAGCTCATTGTATATCCATCCCTTTTAGACGGGAAGTTTAACACACTTTTATCCAAATTTAATACATCCTAGAACCTGTTCTTCTTGGAATGTTTTTAACATCTCAAAAGCATTTAACAAAGAATAAGATTTGGGAATTGTGGATCTGGAATACTACTCTTTATGTATATATCAAGATATATCATTACTTCTGATTAGAATTATCTTTCATGATGCTCCACCTTGCGTGGTGCTTATATAATATCTATTGTTACCAATTCTAGGATTTCATTTCGACCTATTTTGAATAGCACTTGTACTCACATTAGTTCAACATATACTTATAAAACTCCTGTCTATAAGACAGACGGTACATGAGTGAATTAAAACCCCCCAGCTAAAAAGAGATCATAACCTCGTGGGGGTGGAGTGTGATAAGAGGTTTAGCAATCATTATAGTAAGAAATAGTAATTGGGCTCTCTCCCTTTGAGGAGCACACCCACACCTTTCTTCCCTCAGGTGTGCATCTTTACTTTTGTCAAACTCTGTGGGTCTTCACGAAACTTATAACCAGGGGAGCAGTGGACAGTGGCAGCCCATCTCAGACCAACCCCCTGAACCTGTCTTCAAGGCCCCTTTTTCTGACTTTTCAGTGAGTTGAAGCAGCCCTGCCTTGGCTCACTTCTTTCCCATGGTGCTTCTAGAGAGCCAAAGCAGCCCTGCTTAGGCTCTCTCCTATTGCTTCTATGCTAAGCTGCTCCCTGTTTCACTGTCCCCAGCTTTAATAAAATACTCTCTCAAAATAAAAAAGTTGTGATTGGCTAGAGACATAAGAACTCTAGATGAAATGATGTGGTAGTCAAGAGTAGTAAATGGACGGATTCAGAAAAGCTATAGGCAAGAGAAGCCACTTTATTAGCTGGACCTTGAAAGACAAGGTGTTTGGTATTGCAGAGTTAGGAGTGGGAAGGAGGTACAAGAGAGAGGGGACTTGTGTGAGCAAAGGCACCAAAGCAAGAAAACAAGGCATATTTGGGGGAAAGTAGTGAGTTGCTGTTTGAGGATGGAGTACTGGGGAAGAGCGTAGTAAGTGGTTTGTTTGGCAAGTTATGTTAAATTTCACACTGAAGAGATTGGACCTTTGGAGACCATGGGAATAACACAGTGAAGCCTATGTTTTTAGGGAGGTTAACATGGTAACGATATTTGAGATGGGTGTGCCAAGGCAATTCAGTGATTCAGGTGAGTGGCGCAAGGTAAGAAGGTCTTAAGTCGTGACACTGGTGTGAAGTGGAGGGCAGGGCAGCTCCTAGGAGGTGTTACAGGCTGAGACAGGCTCAGAAATGGCTCTCATTGAGGGCACAGTTTAAACTCAAGAGTTATTAAAAAGAAACTTGGGTCAATTGCTATAAAATTGTTAGTTAAGTTTCCTCCTTATTCTTAGTTCTAGAGCCAGTACAAAAGCCTCATGAAGGTCCTGGAGAAATGGGGAAACCAGTCGTCATTCCTAAAGAGGATCAAGAAAAGATGAAAGAGATGTTTAAAATCAACCAGTTCAATTTAATGGCAAGTGAGATGATTGCACTCAACAGATCTTTACCAGATGTTAGGCTAGAAGGGTAAGTACTTAGTATGGTCCTGATGGTGTTTAATTTGAATGAAAAGTATGAATTCCTAATTAATCACATGTTAGTGACTGTTCCTGAAGTGAATGCTCTATCACTAATTTACTACTTAACCCCACTTAAAAATAATTAAATGCTGATAATACGCCCAGTTACTAGTGATCATTAGGACTATTATTTCAGGCTTTGGAAAATAATAGTTTATCTTAATAGATTAAGATGGTAGAGGGTTTTAAACTTTATTATTATCAAAACATTCATATTATCAACTTTTAAGAAAAGATTCTTTTAAGTTTTCTGTAACTTAAAACAATGAGGTATACAGTTGTAAGTGTACAGGTTACTAAATTTTTGTATATGTATGTACCTGTCTGTCTGCCAAATCAAGATGCAGAACATTTCCATCACCCTGAAAGTTCTTATATGTTCCCTTCTGGTCAGTACTACCACCCCAAGAGGCAGCCTTTGTTTTGACCTTTCTGACCATAAATGAGTTTTTCCTTTTTTGTGGTACTTTTTATAAATGGATCCATACAGTATATCTGTTTTTTCGTGTCTTTGAAATCCATGTTGTTGCATACATTAGAAGTTTATTCTTTTTCATTGCAGTGTAATGGTTTGTTAATGTGAATATACCATAGTTTATTTAGTCATTGGTAGACATTTGGGTTGCTTCCACTTTTTGACTATTACAAATTAAACTGCTATGACATTTTTGTGCATCTCGTTACTGATTTTGGGGGGAGGATGGCACATCAATTTGTTGCCTCCTGCATGTGCCCTGACCTGGAATCGAACCCGCCACCTTTTGGTGTACCAGACGATGCTCCAACAAACTGAGCCACACAGGCCAGGGCTCCAGGGAAAGCTTTTAAAAGTTGTTCAGAGAAAGCAGAATGAGGGGATGGAGATTATCTGTTTAGCAAATTGGTTAAGTGGAGATCAGTCAAGAGAAGCTTCATTGTAAATTTAGATTTTACAAGCTATGTATACTTTCCTGAACAATTTAGGAATAATTGAAGAAAGCTAGACTTTTCAGGGAAGCCTACAGTTAAAATCCTAATAATGTCTATATTAAAAAGAGCCTCAACTATAATTGTTTCTTGTAGAGTTATTTTTCTGATTTTAATAATTCCCCTGAGCACATAACCACTCTCAATACATTTTATTAAGTGTTTGTTTTTTAATCTTTTATGTTTCTTGGAGATACTTTTATTAATGAATAACTTTAAAGTGTATTAGAAGTCCCAGTTTTTGGACAGTGAACAACTTCATAATGTTAAGAACAGTGTTTAAATGGAGTGATACATATGCTTGTGCACTGAATTTTGGGCTTGATGAGGACTCCTCATACTTCAAAAGATTCTGTTTCCTGCAAGCTGCTAATACACAGTCCTGGCCAGCCATTCAGTCTTTGTGGGAATGGGCTGCTTGTGGGAGAGAAGGGGGCACAAAGTCACTACTGCCTCTAAGTAGCCTTTTTATACCTTCTTGCTCCATCTCTGTGGTGGTATCCTATTTTTGTTTTTTTGCATTTTATTATGGAAAATATCAAATGTGTACAAAAACAGATAATAGTATAATGAACCCTCATGTATTCATCACCTTGCTTCAGCAATTCCTAACAGCCTTCTATTATACCCTCTAAGATGTCCTCTGACAATCTCCATCTCCTGGTGTTGATATCCCTGCACGGCCTCTCCCTGTGTTGTATGACCAGTAGAACACAGTACAGGGGATGGAGTGTCACTTTCAGGATTAGGTTATAAAAGACACCGTGGTTTCCAATTTGGTCTCTTACTCTCACTTGGATCGTTGGCTCTGGGGTAAGCTTGCTGACATGACAGGAGCAGCCCTATGGTTTTATGGTCTTTTGTGATCAGTCTGGTGAGTGAGATTAGAAGCAGATTTCCCAGTCCCAGGCAAAGGCATACCATTTGTAAATATTACAATAGGTACCTCTGAAAGATAAGGACTCATTTTTTTAAAAAAAAGAAAGGAAAATCATGGTACTATTTTCATACCTTGAAAATACTAACAGTGATTCCTTAATAACATGAAATACCCAGTTAGTGTTCAAGTTTCCCTAGTTATGTCATGTACTTTATTTTATAGTGTTTGTATCAGGATCCAAATAAGGGCTACACATTGCAACTAGTAGATATGTCAAGAAGTCTTTTTTAGCCTGCCGGGTCCCTCTCTATCTTTTTTTCCCCTTACAGTTTATTGTGTCCTTGTTGGTAGTAAAAGTATGAAATCTGGTCTGTCGTGTGCATCATCATTGGACACATCTATTATCTGTCTCATCTGTCTGCTTTCTCTTTTGGGAACTCCTGTTAGCCAGGCTTTAGACTGCTGGAATTGATTCTCTTAGTCTCATGTTTTTGTCTTATTTTACTTCCAGGGAGAAATCCCAGACTCTTTCAGCTACTTACTTGAATTTTTTATTACTAAGTCTTTATCATTATTGTCTGGCTTTTAAAAAATATAGACGCGAAAACCTGTAATATGCCATTTTTATACATACAAATATTTGTGAGAAAATTAGCATAACAATAGCAGTTTGATCTTTGTAGGTTTTGGGGTAATTTTAACTTTGGTTTAAAAAATAATCAGTACCACGAGGCAGGCTGCTGTTAAAGTGGCTCAGAGAGATTGCTATAGCCCGGGATAATGAATGGGGTTTGAATCCAAGTCCTTAGTTCCCTTCTTTCTTGACCTAATTGCTGAAAGCTATTTTCTCTCATTTTTTTAAACTATTCCTTTTAATACTAGATTAAATTCTGGAAACAGGTTAAACTCATGTATTCAGTAGAATTCTGTTTATTTTCTCTTAGCAGATAAATGTCTCTAGATGATTTGATGAAATTATGGAAGTTGCTTATAATTTTTAAAGATGTATGGGGTTGTTTTTTCAGGTGCTTTCTTCAGTAACTTTGACATTATTCTATAAAGAGTAATTGGTAGTTCTAAAGCTAACATGTATTTTGTTTCAGTTAAATAAGATTTTGGAAACAAAATATTCCAACATAAATATTACTTTTTTTGTACCTGTATTTATCATCTTGTAGTTTGGTGTCTACCTTCTTCATGAAATGTAAATTGATCTATTACAGAAATTTAGTGAATTCCCTAACTTTCGTTTGTTTTATCTGTTGTCTCAAAGACACGTGATAATTTGTAGTTTAACATGTACTTTAAAATAATTTGTCTTGAAGTATTTTTTATTATGCATTTTCTTTTACTAGTGATCTATCAGAAATCTTTTTTGGAAAAAGTAGTCTTCCCTTTCCTTATTTTAGCTATTAATTTTTTTAATAAAAATGGTCTAAGCATTCAGAAAGCTGTAGGAGATAACAAACCTTTGTACCAACCACCAGCTTTATCAAATCTTGATAAGTTACCTTTTTTTTTTTCATATTTTATTTTTTGCAATAAAACTTTATAACTATAGTTGGAGCCTTTTGTATACCCCTCCCCAATTCTAATCTGTTCTAACCATAGGTCTGATTTTTGCATTTATCATTACTGTGCATGTTTTAAAAGTAATGATAAGTGCAGAAATCAAGCCTACAGTTTCATAGTTTAATAAATATTAGTACAGCATATGCACATAATCCTTCTGTAACTTTTAAATTTGTTTTTGCTCAGGCATAGATTTTGAGATAATTCCATGTCAGTACATGTAGTTCTAGATCATTCACTTTAACTGCTTTTATAAATATACCATAATTTATCTCTTGTTCTTTGTGTATATATTTGCCTTTTAGTCATTAACAGATCATGAAATCAATTTTGTGAGTATTTTAATTAGTGAAGTAGACTAGGAGATATCAGTATTTCTCATGTAGTAAAGGTATTTTTTTCATTAATCATTGTTTGAGTATGTATGTGCTATATTAACATAAAATATATTTGTTCTGTGGGTTATGGTAAAAAAAGACCATAGATGTGAAATTACTATGCTATAAGATGTGTTTATTTCATTCAATTAAAAAAAAATTGCTCCCAAAGTAGTCTTACCATTTCACACTTTCCACCTGTAGTGGATGAGAGACATTTTTCTGCATATTCATGCAGAATATAATAGTGGCATGAGTAAGACACAGTAGTGGCAGGGACTGGGCTGGCACATGTGAAGAAGTTTTCAATTCTGATTGCATTTTTAAGACGGAGCCGCCAGAATGCTAATGGGTTGGATGTGGAACAAAAGGGAAGAGGAGGAATTGCAAATTCAGGCTATCTGGATTATAGTAATACTTGCCAGGGTGGAAAGAAGAGGAAAGAAGAAATATGGGGATAGAAATTAAGAGTTCTTAGCACATATTTGTAAAACCTGGTAGCGCTGGGGAGAGGAGGAAGTTGGGTCGTCAGGGACGAGAATTTAAAGACATGGGCTGGCTGAGAGAGCTTTGGGAGCGGATGAGATAAAGAGGTTAGAGTGAGGGGAGGAGGAACTTCTGGCAGGGGTCTGAGAAAGATAAGATGCGCTATGGGGAAAAGTATATGGTGCCTAAGAAGCCAAGCAAGTGTTTCAAGGAGGAAGTGGTCAGCTATGTTAACTGTGCTGCTCACAGGTAAAGTAAATTGACGTCTCTAAGTTGACCAGTGGATTTCAGTATGTGGAAGTTGTTGGAACTCAGACAAAATTATTTTGAAACCCAGATGAAAAAAAATAAGGAAGACTTCCACTTCTTATAATTGTGGCCTTGGTGATCTGTACCAACTCCCCTGTTGAGGACACCTAGAGAATTAGAAAAAATATAAAAATCATCTGCTTGAAAACATCCTGAGGTTAGAAGGCAGAGCTTAAAAAAGGCAGTGAAGAATTATAAAGCCAAAAAATACGGGAGAAGATGGAAACCCAGAAAATTGAACCTAGAATTTGGAGGCCACTTTTTACCTAGAGGCATCTGCTGAATCCAGGTGTATATTAAGAAACTTAGTACCGCTTTTAACAGTCTTTTGGTACTAGAGCATAAAAACTGTGGAGT